ACATATTAGGCAAGAGCTCTACCACTGACCTATGCCCACAACCCCTTAATATAGACTTTTTGTTCTTGAGAAAGGATCTTACGTAGACTAGGCTGGCCTAGAACTCACTATGTATTATTGGATGAGGTTGGGCTCAGGCTCACTGGGTAGCTGAGGAGGACCTTAAAGGTCTGATCTTCCTGTCTTCACCTGCTGAGTGCTGGGATTACAGGTGAGTGCCACCCTGTAGTGTTTATGCAAGGCTGGGGATCAAACCCAGGGCTTCGTGCACACTAGCCCAGAACTCTACTGACTGAGCTTCATCCTTGGTCTATCGTCTACTTTCTGACATATTCATGGTGTCTTAGTTAAGGTTTTATTGCTGTGAAGAGACACCATGACCATGACAACTCTTATAAAAGATATTTAACTGGGGCTGGCTTACGGTTTCAGAGGGTTGGTCCATTATCACCGTGACAGGGAGCATGGCAGCACGAAGGCAGACATGGTGCTGGAGAAGGAGCTGAGTGTGCTACATCTTGATCCAAAGTAGCAAAAGGGGACTGTGTGCCACACTGGGTAGAGCTTGAGCATTGGAAACCTCAAAGCCCGCCCCCACAGTGACACACTTCCTGCAACAAAGCCACACCTAGTCCAACAACATGACGATTACTAGTGCATGTATGTAGTAAATGTTTACTGATAATGTAGTTCATTAAGAAGCAATGGAGGAGCCTGGTAGTGGTGGTGCACGCCTTTAATTCTGCCTTGGAAGGCAGAGGCAGGCAAATGACTGTGTTCAATGTCAGGCTGGTCCACAGAGCAAGTTCCAAGACAGTCAATGCTACACAGAGAAATCCTCTCTCGAACCCCACCCCCCCCCAAACAAAATCAATAAAGGTGGGGGCAGTGAGATAGCTCAGTTGGTAAAGGTGCTAGCTGCCAAGCATGATGACCTAAATTTGATCCCCAGAACTCATGGTTGGGAGGAGAGAACTGACTCCCAAAAGTTGTCCTCTGACCACCACACCTGTGTCATGACGCTTATCCAAAAATACATGTGCACACACACACACATCCACACACACTAAATTGATGAAACAACAATAAAAAAAACATAACAGGTCAAGCTGGGAGGACGAATTGATACAACAGGAGCCTGTGAGGACGAGAAAGCACACTCAAGCACACGTGCTTCCTTGGCCTCTAGCCCTTTCCCATTGATCTGCTCTCCTGAAGTGGTTCACTGAGAAATGCTACCTCAGATGGAGTGTATAAATGAAGAGAAACACAAATCTCAGTTGAAAATGGACATTTTTCCCCCCTAGACTCGCATTAAGAAAAAGAACAGCTGTTTTGTTTGTTTGTTTGTTTTTGCTTGTTCGTTCGTTCGTTTGTTTTGTGGCTATTGCTGTTTGCACACTGGACCAAAGTAGAGCTTCTTTCTCGTGTCAGGATAGGGAAATGCCACTCACCTAGTCGACCAGTGTATTAATGAAATGGAAGGAAGAAGCAGATGGAGACAGTGGAGACGTCCTGTATGAAAGGAAAATAAGCCAACAAGGAGAGGTAAGCCGTTATGGATGGTCATGGCTTTCCATTCTGTTTTATCTTTCCAACATTTTGTTAGTATGAAGAGATAAGCAAAACTGCAGAGTTAGGCAAAGGGACACTCGCTCCTTTCTTGTAAGATACAAGCAAACAACTCTGGAAGCCAGAAGAGAGAAAGAGGCTGCCTTTGGCTTTTGCCAAGCACATTCCTCCCCTAGCCTTTTCTGCCATCTTTCCCCTTACCTGGAAGGTCCTCTCTCCTCCCTTGATTTGCGCAGGCTCGTATCTGATAAAAGCTCCAGGCTCTCGAGATCTCTGACCCCCATCCCTTCTCCCCGGATCTCCTTTAGCGCATCTGCGGCGTGCTACACAAGTCCAACTAGATTAAGCATATTGTCCTGAAAGACTCTTGTATGTGTGCATTATAAAACCCCTTGTAAACTCCTCGAGAACAAGAGCCATTTCTTCTGTTCCTGCTTCATCTCCCATAGTGCTGATGGCCTAAGAGACCCTCTGTATGGCCTTGCTGCCTCACTGACTGGAGAGTTCAGTTCCGATCTCAAGCTCTTGCCAGCAATGCAAAGGCTACACAATAAAGTCCTTTCACTATTAAATGACAGACTCAAAGATAGAGGGGCTGAGAAAGTGCGCACACAGAATCCTTCATTGTCTCAAGTCTTTCCTGGGAGTCAGGGCCTGGAATCCTCAGGTTAGAGATAGAAATAACTTTGATATGCTGTATGTGATGTTTAATCTTGGGTTAGCATTTCGTTTAGATGGACTGATAAAATAATAGATCAATGGGCTGTTAGTTGGCTTTCACTTAGCATGCTCAGGGCCTGGAGTTTGATCTCAGCACTAGAAAAATAACAATAATACGTGTTTGGGTTACATCAAAGGATCAAAGAAAGGAAAGATTTTCTTGTATGCAACTAATTGGTGTTTCCCAAGTCTCCCCCGACACCCGTCATGGTTCATAGTCAAGAATTCACAGGGGAATGCTGGGCAGTGGTGGCGCACGCCTTTAATCCCAGCACTTGGGAGGCAGAGACAGGTGGATTTCTGAGTTCGAGGCCAGCCTGGTCTACAGAGTGAGTTCCAGGACAGCCAGGGCTGCACAGAGAAACCCTGTCTCGAAAAACCAAAAAAAAAAAAAAAAGAATTCACAGGGGAAAATATTGTTTTCATATTTTAATGGTAACAATGTTACCAGAAGAGAAAATGTGTGTTGGGGGAGCAGGTTCTGTAACCCCACTCTTCCTTCCTTCCTTCCTTCCTTCCTTCCTTCCTTCCTTCCTTCCTTCCTTCCCCACTCCCTTCATCCCTCTCCTCCCCACCTCTCTTTCTGAGCCAAAGTCTCAAACTGCAGCCCTAGCTGGCCTTGAACTCACAAAGATCCACCATCATGCCCAGCCATATTGCCATTATTTCCATTGCTAAACGTTTCAGTGCTTTTTAGGGTATACATAGCAATCAGTATTTAGGAAAGAGAGTTATGTCCACATCTTTGTACTCTGAGTCTATCCTTTCCATGGCTACTTTGGGTATCAAGTGTACTTAGAGAACACTATTTTCTGATTGATTTGGATATGGATTCAGCTGATCCTCCATGCTTAAATCTTTTTTTTTTTTGAGTTATTTATTATGTATAGGGTATTCTGCCTGCATGTTGCCTGCACTGCTGCACTGTAGAAGAGGCCACCAGATCTCATTATAGATGGTTGTGAGTCACCATGCGGTTGCTGGGAATTGAACTCAATATCTCTGGGAGAGCAGCCAGTGCTCTTAATCTCTGAGCCATTTCTCTAACCCCCATTCCTAAATCTTCAAAGCATTACGTAGACTGAAAATGTAAGGACTGCTAAGCAGCCTTGGGAAGTGCCAGAGTTGTGTTCTAGGGATCTAAATGTGTTCACAGCCAGCAATGTGAGTGGGTTGTGTTGGCTTTTTATTTTTATTTTTGTAATGGTCCTGTGATATTATCCTTGTAGTGCCCTATGAGCTGTAGTTAAGGAACTTTCCATAGAACAAAACTGGACATGAAGACATATACATACATACACACAGATACACACACACACACATACACACATACATACATACATACAAACATACACACACATACACACACATACATACACACACATACACACACATACATATATACACACACATACACACACACATACACACATACACACATGCACATAGACACACATAGACACAAACACACACATACACACACATACATACACACAAACACATACACACACATACACACATGTACACACACACAGATACACACACGCATACATACATATACACACGCATGCATACATACATACACACACATACATACATACATACATACAAACATTCATACAAACACATACACACATCACTTGGGATGTTTCTTTCCTAAATTAACAAGATTCTACTTTGTGTCTCAGAAATCAATTTGTACATCTTGTGAAAAATTCTGAGTCTCTTACCTCTATTCTAGTAAGATTTATAGGTCTGGCATGTATTTAGTATTTAGTATGTAAATACATCGTTTTAGGGATCTGGAAAAATACTTGAAGTCACTTAGTGTTCTGCGTAAACAGTGCAGAAGAAGAAACCAAGTAGAAAGCCAGGCCTGGAGGCAACAGATCTGTCATCTCAGCTATTAGAGAAGCCAAGACAAAAATATGCCTGGATTACAGAGCAAGGTCAACAGTGCCAGCCCAGACAACCGAGAAAACACTTTCTCAAAACTTCAAAAAAGTTCAAGAGGATCAGGTTTGGGGGTGTACACTTTTCCTAACACTTGGGAGATAGAGGCAGACGGAACTCTATGAGATTGAGGCCAGCCAAATCTACAGAGGGAATTCAAGACCAGCCAGGGCTATGTAGTAAGACTTTATCGAGAGAGAGAGAGAGAGAGAGAGAGAGAGAGAGAGAGAGAGAGAGAGAGAGAGAGAGAGGCCTAGGCTTGTAGTTTAGTGGTAGAGAGATGGCCTCTAATATGTGAGGCCATTTATTGAATATCTAGTAACCCCCCCTCCCTCCACAAGAAAAGGATATTAGAGTAATGAGGCATGGTGACACAAATCTGTAGCACCATGCTCTGGAGGCTGAGGCAGGAGGATTGCAAGTTTGTGTTCAAACTGGACTGAATATAGTAAATTCCAGACCAGCTTGGATTACATAGCAAGATCTAGTTTCAAAAAGATAATAATAAGGTGGGCATGGTGACACATGCCTTTAATCCTAGCACTTGGAGGCAGAGGCAGGTGGATCTCTGAGTTTGAGGCCAGCCTAGTCTACAGAGTGAGTTCCAGGACAGCCAGGTCTATATAGAGAAGCTCTGTCTAAAATAATAATAATAAAAAGTTGACTGATAAGTAGTTTATCTCTGTAAATATCGTGAGGACATTGTTCAGTATCATCGGAAGAGACAGAATGTGCCCTGTCTGCTGTTGCCTATGTCAAGGAGCAGAAGAGCCATTCAGCCGAGACAGGAGCTGGGATCCCCCCATGGAGAGAAGACTTGATGTTGAAAGACAATCTTCTTTGAAGAATTTGCTTGGCTTGAAAACAGGGTCATTTCCAAAGGGTCCCCTTTCAATCATTTTTTCCCGGGCAGTCCGTAGATCCCTGAAATACGACGGGCGGTTTCTGTGTATGGAGAATGTTACGACAGGACTCTGGAGCCAGGGATTTGGCACCTTGGGCATCATACTCTGCAGAGAAAGAGTAACACAAGGTCTCACATGAGAAAGCAGACTACGCGGAAGACTCTTTAACCAGGTTATTAGAGTAGCTAGAAGCTATTAAACTCAATAAGAAGATTAAAATCTTGTGTCTCATGACTCTGGCCAGACTAATGTGGAGAAGAGGCCTGAACTGCTCACTTGACAAAGTCTGGCCATTTGCATGGTGATTTGATGGGCTAGCTTTGTTATTTATTGTTCTTTGATTCCCCAAGACCCACATGGTGGGAAGAGAGAATTGACTCCCTCAAGTTGCTCTCTGACTTCTACATTCCTGATTGTCCTGGCTGCTCTTTTTTTGTTTGTTTGTTTGTTTTTGTTTTTCAAGACAGGGTTTCTCTGTGCAGCCCTGGCTGTCCTGGAACTCACTCTGTAGACCAGGCTGGCCTTGAACTCAGAAATCCACCTGCCTCTGCCTCCCAAGTGCTGGGATTAAAGGCGTGCGCCACCACCGCCCGGCAGTCCTGGCTGCTCTTATTTCAACATGACATAACCTAGTCATCTGAGAGGAGGGAACCTCAATGGAAAAAAATGTCTCCATATAATTGGACTGTCAGCTGGGGAGTGGTGGCGCATGCCTTTAGTTCCAGCACTCAGGAGGCAGAGGCAGGCGGATCTCTGAGTTGGGGGCCAGGCGCCTGATCTACAGAGAAAGTTCCAGGATAGCCAGGGCTACCCAGAGAAACATGGTCTAAAAAGAAAATAAAAAAGAAAAAAGAAAGATTGAGCTGTCTCTTAATGGGCAGTTTTGAAACCATAAACAACGAGCATTCATGTAACATATTTGTGCGTGCAACTATTTTTTTTTTTTTTTGAGACAGGATCTATTTTGCCCAGGTGGGTCTGTGGACTCATGTGATTCTCCAACTTCAGCCTCCCAAATAGTTGGAACTACAGGTGCACATCATGGAAATGAATTTTTTACATTTTTATTCTTTAATGTTTGTTTAAGATATATTTTATTGTGTATGAAAGACTATGGATGTGTATGTGGACATGTGTGCATGTGTTTGTGCAGGCCAGAAGAGGGCGTCAGATATCCTGAAGCTGAAGTTACAGGCTATTGTGAGTCACCTATATGAGTGCTGGGAACCAAACTCAGGTCCCCTGAAAGAGCAATACTCATTATAACCTCTGAGCCATCTCTCTCTAGCCCTGGATGAATGCTTTAAAAGGCTAAGTTACTATAAGAAGAATTGAAGAAACGTAACAGTGACTATTGATAACTGTGTCTTGTCCTCCAAAGTTCATACTGGGATTTACAATTAATAATCACTGTTAGATTATCCTGGCATCATGGCTCTCCCATTTGTCCATATTATATACAGATGTATGTAGGAACACATAAATAAAGACATATATACTGGAATGTGTAGCCCCTAGACAAATCCTGATGTAATTCTTATTTTGCCTGATTTCCCTCTCCCTAATTTCATTCATAAAAATATTGCAGAGCTGAGTGTGGTGGCTCTTGCCTGTAACCTCAGCACGGAGAAAGCTAAGGCAAAAAGATCTCCATGACTTTGAGGCCAGCCTGGCTACACAGGGAATTCCAAGCCAATTTGGGTTACAGAGTAAGAGCCTATCTTACGGCAGCAACCGCCCCCACCCCAATATATTAAGGACATTTTATTTCAAATCACTCAATGACACACGCGTATGGAAATAGTTATTAATAGCTGCTTCTGTAGTGAGAACTAAGCGGGGCCGCAGGAGAAGTGATGGAATTAGCGATAAGTCAGATCCCAAAGGGCAACGCCCAGCTTCAGGGGAAATGAGAAGACAGAGATAGCAGCAAGTCTCTTTATTTAAGGAAATCACAACGTGTTCAAAAAAAGAAAAGGATGAGGTCACAGGAAAAACTGGGAGGAGAAGATATTTGTACAGCATGTGGAAATGACAAACAGAGTCTTCTAATAGTCAAACACCGGCTCCTCGGCTTTGCAAGCAGAGAAGCCCAATGTATCCCCAAGCTCATTGCAGGGTGTGTCCTTTGTCACCTGGAAACCACTTTTTTTTTTAAAAGATAGTTCAAATTTTCAAATATGTCAAATATGACCTATCTTTTCTCTGCATCTACCCAGGAGATCTAATACTGGGATGCTTTCAGTACACACAGCCTTTATGTCAACAAGGAAGCTCTCAGGGCTGGGGAGTGGCTCGGTTAGTAGTATAGTGCTTGCTGTGCAAGCATGGAGACCTGAGTCTGGATCCTTACCACCCATGTACAAAGCCAGGCCTGCACTCCCAGCACTGGGGTGGCAAAGACAGGAGGATTCCTAAGCTTACTAGTGAACCAGTCTACCCAAGCCCTGAGCTCCAGGTTCAGTGAGAGATCTTGTCTCCAAAGAAGACATCTGTCATTGCCATCTGACATCCACATACATGTATGAGTGTAGATACACACACACACACACACACACACACACACACCACACACCACACACTTTAAAAAGGAAGAAGGGTCGAAAAACCAAAAAAAAAAAAAAAAAAAAGGAAGAAGGGGCCCTGGAGGAGTGGCTCAGTCATTAAAAGCACTAATTTCTTTTTCAGGGGACCAAGGTTTGATTCCCAGCACTATAGTTATATCTTGGCAGATCAAAATTAGCTGTAACTCCAGTTCCAAGAGGGATCGGATACCTTCTTCTAGACTTATATGGTCTATAGACATGCATACAAGCAAAACACTCATACACATACAATGAATCTTAAAAAAAAGAAACCTTTTAAATTAAATTTAAAACACAACAGTGGTGATTAAAAAGGGGAGGGTATTCTGCCCGAGAGAGCTCTTCTGCCAGGCTTCTGAGGCTTCCTTGTAGGGCACCGAACTTGGGAAGACACTGGTGACCCCTCTCCTCGGTGCTTAGCAGACCCTTCACAACCTCTCATAATGGCTTTATCTGATACGGTCTTCTATTAGATTTGTTACAGTAATTTTCTCCTTGCTGTGACAAAAATACCTGAAAAGATATTTTCAACTTAAGGGAGGATTTATGCGCACTTACATTCCTTCATGGTAGGGTAGGAATGGCTGCAGGCGTAGGAGGCAGCCAGTCACACTTCATCCTCACTCAGAGCAGAGGATAAAGATGCTGTGTGGAGCGCTTGCCCCACACCCCATTACCCACTACAGGACGCCAGCCCTCGGGATAGATGATACCACTCACTCACTTTTAGAGCGGGTCTTCCTACTTCCTACTTTAACCTAATGGTAAACAATCTCTCACAGAGGTGCCCAGAGGCTTGCCTCTTTAGTGATTCTAGATCCTGTCTGTAGGCATAATGTTACTGTGTACTGTGTAAAGATTACTCATGTATTACTCAAGTGTGGATTTCTCCGCGCCCATATCTGTTTGCAACCCTTATTCTGAGAATCTCCTGGCTCAATATGGTGTAAAAATTGCTCCACAATTATCCCCTGATTGGTCAGTAGTGAGCTGATCAGCCAATGACTGAGAAGGGAAGAGAATAGGGCTGTACTTCCTCCCAGCCAGTGGGTACAAGAGAGAAGTGGGGATTGGACTGGAGGAGAGAGTCCAAGAGACCTCGTAAAAAAGAGAAACAAACAAACAAACAAATCCAGGAGTCCAGTAGCCCAGGAAACCAGATCAGTACTAGCTAGTATCACGGAGATTTTTGGCTGGGAGGGGCCAGATTAGCATAGGGAATTAAAATAGAGTAACATTGCTCAGTTGTGCCCGTAAAGCTTTTGAGTAAATATTCTAGTCCAGTCACAATTAGGATTGGATATTCCAGCCGGGCGGTGGTGGCGCATGCCTTTAATCCCAGCACTTGGGTAGTAGAGGCAGGCGGATTTCTGAGTTCGAGGCCAGCCTGGTCTACAGAGTTAGTTCCAGGACAGCCAGGGCCACACAGAGAAACCCTGTCTCGAAAAACCAAAAAAAAAAAGGATTGGATATTCCTTTTTGGCCTCTTTGGAACACACACACCACACGCACGCACACACACAGAAACTTTTTAAAAAGCCAGAAGCTTGGAGAAGGAGAAACAACAGTCTATTGAATTTGCTTGCAATGTTAGACTGAGAGGCAAGTCCAGGAGTTTGAGGCTAGGAAGGACTATGTAGCAATACACTGACGAAGAATATTGGAAGGAAGAATATTGATTACAAGGATCTCACCCTGTAACCTTAGCCTTCCACAAGCATGAACCACCATACTCAGCAAGGCTTTGGAATCGAAAGGGAGTGGGAAATGAAATGGAGAGAGTCTTAACAGTGGAGTTTTCTCCAGTGAGGAGAGTCAGTAAGAGTTGTGCTTCATACAGAACATCAAACTTTGCCTTCATTCATTCTACCAGGAAACTGCTTAGGAACAAAAATACCTGCCACAAAAATGAGAAAGCAGACTAAAACAGAGGAAGCCGAGCTCGGCGCTGCACACCTTTAATCCCAGCACAGGCAGAGAGAGGAGAATCTCTGTGAGTTCGAGGCCATCCTGGCCCATCTAGCAAGCTCTAGGACTATGTAAATCTTGTCACCCAAAAACAAAAAAGAGGAATGAAGTTGTTTTCTTCTGAGTTGCCCTGTGCCTTGTTTTCTTACATGGAACCTTTATCTGGTAGGGAATTTTGCCTTTCCAGTGTCTATTACCGCGGTTTAAAAAGGTGACAAACAGGGCTAGCGGTAGGACCCAGGAGGACCGTCGGCTTGGCGGACCTAGGGAATGCTGGAGGACTCGGCCCCTTCCCAGAAAGCACCACGGCTGCGGAAGCGTGGGTCTTGGCCGCCCCACCATGGATGCGCTTTCGAATGGCAACGGCGCGGCGCTGGCGAAGCGCGGGCGGGGGAGGCGCCGGCGGCAGCCGCAGTCCCGCGGCGCGTCGGTCCTGGCCCTGCCCTTGCGGTCCCGGAAGGTCCGAAGGCACCGGAAAAGTGCGGCGTCCCGCGTGGCTGCGCTGAGAGCTCGCGCGCTCCTGAGCCGGGACTCGGACTCGAAGGTGGCATCGGTCGGGGGCAAGCGGAAGGGTCCTGCAGAGCTGCTGGAGGCCTCGGGGGCGGCCGAGCCGCGGCCGGTGGCAGTGCGCCCGAGGCCGGCTTCGGCGACCCTGCCGCGCCGGGTGGAGGGCCGGGTCGCGCTCTCCCGGAACCTGGGGACACCGGCTCCGCCGCCGGGCTCGCACGTGGATGACCCGGAGCGGCCCCGGGATTCGCCGCTGCAGCAAGTGTTAGCGGAGCTGAACGGCATCCCCAGCAGCCGGAGGCGCGCCGCCCGCCTCTTCGAGTGGCTCTTGGCGCCCCTGCCGCCGGACCACTTCTACCGGCGGCTGTGGGAGCGGGAGGCGGTGCTGGTGCGGCGGCAGGACCACAGCTACTACGAAGGTCTATTCTCCACCGCCGACCTGGACTCGATGCTGCGGGACGAGGACGTGCACTTCGGGCAGCATCTGGACGCCGCGCGCTACATCGACGGGCGGCGGGAGACCTTGAACCCACCGGGCCGCGCACTTCCCGCCGCCGCGTGGTCCTTGTACCAAGCCGGCTGCTCCTTACGTCTTCTTTGCCCGCAAGCTTTCTCGCCCACCGTGTGGCAGTTTCTGGCTGTGCTCCAGGAACAGTTTGGAAGCATGGCAGGCTCCAACGCTTACCTCACGCCCCCCAACTCGCAGGGCTTTGCTCCTCACTACGACGACATTGAGGCTTTCGTGTTGCAGCTGGAAGGTCGGAAACTCTGGCGCGTCTACCGACCGCGGGACCCAAGTGAGGAGTTGGCCCTGACATCCAGTCCCAACTTCAGCCAGGAGGACCTTGGTGAGCCAGTGCTACAAACGGTACTGGAACCTGGAGACCTGCTCTATTTTCCTCGGGGCTTCATTCATCAAGCTGAATGTCAGGATGGAGTCCACTCTCTGCACCTCACCTTGTCCACCTACCAGCGCAATACATGGGGTGACTTCCTGGAGGCTGTTGTCCCTCTGGCAGTGCAGGCAGCAATAGAGGAAAATGTGGAGTTCCGCAGGGGTCTTCCTCGGGACTTCATGGATTACATGGGAGCCCAGCATTCAGACTCTAAGGATCCCAGAAGAACAGCTTTCATGGAAAAGGTGCGGGTCTTGCTTGCTCGCCTGGGACACTTTGCTCCTGTCGATGCTGTGGCTGACCAGAGAGCAAAAGACTTCATTCACGATTCCCTGCCCCCTGTGTTGACCGATAGGGAAAGGGCTCTAAGTGTTCACGGGCTCCCAATTCGCTGGGAGGCTGGAGAACCTGTAAATGTGGGGGCCCAGCTGACAACAGAAACAGAAGTCCATATGCTTCAGGACGGCATAGCGCGGCTGGTGGGTGAGGGAGGCCGCTTGTTCCTGTATTACACAGTAGAAAACTCTCGGGTTTATCATCTGGAGGAACCCAAGTGCTTAGAAGTCTACCCCCAGCAGGCTGATGCCATGGAACTCTTACTTCGATCCTACCCAGAGTTTGTGAGAATAGGGGATCTGCCCTGTGACGCTGTGGAAGACCAGCTTTCCTTGGCAACCATGTTATATGATAAGGGGCTGCTGCTCACCAAGACACCTCTAGTTCCGAGTTAGTTCTTGAGGATGACTGGAAAGCCTGCGGTTGGGACTCTCCAGCACCACTGCCACCTTTTGTCTGTTTTTACAGAGGCCGTGTTCTTACCTTGCTGAGCGTCAGTATGGTTACGTTTACCTTTAGGATTTTCTCCGTGTTGCAAACCTCAGACCTGAAAAGAACCTCTTCATCTAGGTACAAAAGGAAACACAGACATTGAAACAGGGAGGGAAAAGCTATTTGCAGCAGTAGCCCCGACCCCTGCCATTTCAGAGCATCAACTTCAAGGAAGTTGCTTCCTTGAGTTCTCTCTCATCAGTTTGCGGGGCGAGCTGGGGTCAGTATGCTGTGCGTTAAGTTTGTATGAACATTAGATTTATTAAAAAAAAAGAAAAAGTGCCAAAGGCCATCTTTCTAAGCCTAGATTTTTCTGGGGATTGATTTGAAGAAGTGTGGGACAAGGAAAATATTGGCTGAGATGAAAGGCAGCATCAGCATGGCTTAGGATGTCACAGGAATATATTAACGTTTGTAAGGAAGAGAGCTGGGGTGTAGAGCAAGTGGGTGCTTGGCATGTGCAATGCCCTGGGTTCATCTCAGCATCACACTCATTAAAGAAGAGAAGCGTGGCTGGTCGGGGCCATAGATTAGCTTTGGAGGTAACTTACTCACTTTAGTTATGAGACTTGAACTCCGAACTGAACAATCCTAGCAGGAAATCTTGCACTAGCAGAATCAGCTTTGAAGTACATACGGTATCTGCTCAGGGCTTGGTTCAGATCAGTGACTCACTGGCACTACTCCCAAAGGGACAGTGTCGTGTCACCTAGCAGTGCTTTCACAGGCTTTAGTCACCCAACTTTTTGCTAGCTGGCCATAGGAAGATCGATGTTCAAGTTATTTTCCACTCTCCTCCCCCGGCAGTTGGATGAAACTTTCCCAAATCTGGCAAGTGCATGTTCTCATGACTGGTGGAAAAGAGCCTGGTGCACCAGAAACAGCACTTGGAACCAGAAGACCTGGGTTTGGGGTGGTGGCTGGTAGGCCACTGGCCGAGTGATCTGAGGCTGCTGCTTACAGATTTTGTGAGTATGTACTGTGACAGTTTGGCTCCTGCACCCTTACCTTTTACAGTAGTCTGTCTGTGCCTCTTAAGATCCTATCATAACTGATAGATTCAGTTTTTAAGGCTGAGTATTTTTGGAAAGTATTTTTTTTCCCCTTAAGTTAGAGTATAAAATGATTGTTTTCCTCCCAACCCCATTTTCCATGGGTGACCACTATAAAAGATTAAATGTGTACTTTTTGGGGGGTTACTTAAGCAAATATACACAGTAGTTATTTGTTTTTATAAAGACTTGTGCTTTTCTGTATGTCTTCTGAAAGTTCAGTTCAGCCAGAGCTACCCTTTAAATTCCACACAATTGCAGATGGATGAGAAGTGGGGAGGGTCCTGCTGCCTGGAAACCAAGGAGACTAAGCACCCGTCCTGACCTAAACCGTACAAGGGCTCCATATGAAGTCCTCAGATCCTGGGACCATTTTGTGAGAAGAGTCAGGAATGGGCTCACCCCTGAGAAACTTACTCGCAGAAGTTTTGAAGTTTTGAAGAAAAGTGTAGAATTCCAGTGGTTTTTGGCCCTCTTTGGGTTCTGAGTAAACCCATTTAGCTCTTTCTTTCAGGTGTTTTACGGCCAGTTCCATCTTCAGTATTTTCTCCGTCAGTACGTCCTTTTGGTTTAGTGTTTGGATCTAAGGGACAAAATTTTAAAAGCAACCGACCAACTGTATTAGGGAGGAAAAACCATTAAGGTAATTTGATCATGTCAAGCATGTATTGCTTGCTTGTTAATCTCAGCACTTGGGAGGCTGAGGCAAGATCTCAACTTTGAGGTTGTATAGTAAAACTGTCTCAGAAAAACAAAAACATAAAAAAACGTAAAGTAATTGATTATATCATGCTTAATAGCAAGCCTCTTGAAGCCCTGGAAACACAGTTTGTATTTACTTACCTTGTTCTTAATCTCCTGAATCATTTCTTGGTTTCCGTCTTTTTCTAAGTTGAGTGCTGTCATTGTCTGGTGAATTTCCCTGAAAGATAATGAAAGATTGTGACCCTGTCCTAAAAAGAAAGCACAGTGGTAAATAACGTAGGATTTGGAATTAGGCGGGAATCCTAAACTCCACACATCAGCAGTTTAACGGAGTCTTCTCTGTAGAAACAATGTGATAATTTACAGAGATGTCGGGCAATTTCAGAACTGATAGGTGAAGGCACTGGCAGTTGTTTATTAAACACCTTTGCGTTAATGTGGACTTCTCTGCATTGGAGGATGGAGACAAAAAAGGACTGAGGGGAGGCCCAGCACTTAAGAGTGTGGGTACAGGCATTCTCCAGGTTCACATAGCTATTGCATTGAAACTCTAGTATTATTGACTGACTATTGTCTCAACAAAGTACTGGATACAAGTTGAATATATGAATAACTTAAAACTCCCAGGAAGAAGAGGGATCCATAAGAATTATGGGAGCCGTGACAGTCTGATTGCGGCAGAGTTTTCCGTTACCCGCTTAGCAGAGCATAGAATGATCGAGGGTTGGAGACTTGGCAGCGCAGAGGTCATGAGAGGTCATGAGAGGTGTGGTGCTTACTTAAGAACAGCCTCGTGCTTTTCCAGGAGCAGCACGTCCAGGAAAGTGTCCCTGACCTGGGGACCCTGAAGCTTGAGGGCTAGGATGCTCCGGCAGGCTTCCAGCCGCACGCCTGGTGAGTCTTCATAGTGGATAGCCCACAGCAGGTTACTAGTCAGCTGGGGACTCACTTGTCCGATCTGTCCCAAAGCTGTATCGGAGGGAGGTCAGGCATGTTTCACTGTTACTGAAGACTAGGTTGACTACACCCTAGCACTGAGAGGGAATTTGAGATTTGCAGACAGTCTCTTGGGGATGACAGTTAATCACCATTAGATAGGAGGGAAATGGAAAAGGTATTTTTGAGTAGCGCCATTTAGAAAGGAAATTTAGAGAGCTAGCCAAGCTTTGCCTAGCATGTTTGATGCCTGGCTTTGGGACTGGGCCCTAGCTGGCCTCACATTTGCCTCCTCCTGCGTCTGTCTCCTGAGAGTGGGATTCCAAGCATGTACCATGCCTGGTTCTGCATGGGGATATTTCTTCCAAAGGACTCAAGAGGATAGTGTTTCATCCTTTCCTTGCCGACCGGGATGTAAGCATAGACTAGTTTGCCTATTCAGGAATTAGATAGGGGCAGATATAACCTGGAAGAGCCGTGTAGTTAATGTAGGGGAGGAGGGCACAACTATTTCTCAGGTTTAACTAGGTCTGGTTCTGCTAGGGTTCTGCCAAAGACCATTTCAGAAAATCGAAAAGCAAGGTGTAAGTTCTGCGGCTGTCTTGAACCTGGTTTGACTCTTACCAAGTGCTGTAGTTCAAATCTCCGGGGAAAGCAGAATGTAACCAACAGTGAATTCCTACTAGAAATGTATTCTGTTGGTGGGGACTGTGTTGTCTGTTCTTTGCTTAACAAGTTTAAATACACCTAGACTTAGGATCCTTAACTAACATTTTAAAAGAAACTTTTCTTTCTCAGCCCAGAGACTTCTGAGAACCTAAGAGAATTCCTCCCACTATACTCTAGCTGGTTTATTAGAGTTTCTGGGGATGGTCTGTGTTAGCATGGAGAAGGTATTTCTAGTCTAGGGCTTAGAGCTATTCTTGAAATACCTCGAATGGCAAAAGCCTTGATTTTCCAGTAAGGATCTGTGTGCATCAGATTCAGGAGGCGTTCAAGCACCTGCAGTAGACAAAGGGCAAGGTGAGTGGGAAGAACCAGAATAAGAATAGACCAGAAACAGGGACCCCCTCATGTCTGTGGATGGTTTAACTAGAAAAACAACCACCTGTCGATCCTAGTAACACACGAGCTACAGCCTCAAGGATTAGCTTGTATAGTAACTAGCTCAATTAACTACTTTTTGTGGTTTTTTTTTTTTGTCTCAGCATATAGATCTATAGCCATACATATACTAACTACATGCTCTACCACTAAACTATACCACTAGTCCCAGACTCCCTCTTGCCACCTGTTCCCATTCTTGTTTTTGAGACCATCACTATGTAGCTTATAACTTAGGTTCACCTCAGATGTTTTCTAATGTGTATGGGTGTTTTGCCTGTAGTCTGTCTATGTAACACATATGTACTGTGCCCCCAGAGGCCAGAAGGTGGCATAAGATCCCTTGGAACTAGTTAGATATGGTTGTGAGCTGCCATGTAGGTGCTAGGAATCAAACCCAGTCCTCTGGAAAAATGACCAGTGCTCTTAATTCCTGAACCATTCCTTCAGCCCCTCTCCTCAAATTCTTGAAACTCCTACCTCTTGCCTTATCTCCCAAGTGCAAGGATTACCTCGTGCTTTGCTTAGACTTCTTTTGAATACCTGTGTCCAGTTTCTCCCTGATTCCATCCGTTGGCATAAACCCTAAAACCTCTCAGCACACAGGTATTAGAAGCTAGTTAACTGAGAAGAGAATAGCATTAAGAATGTAGCGTCCCATGGCTTGAAGTGTTGGAGCTCCTTAGGAGCTCCTTGCTGCTGATGTGACTGACTGCTCATCCCACTTCCCACAGAACAGGGAATGTACCAGGCACCACAGAGACAGGGAAGCTCGCTCAAGGTCCATCAGGTAAGATGACGGCTTCCTTGACGTACCATCTGGTCACGGATCTGCAAGGCACCTGCTGCCAAACAAGCTGCCTGTCGAATTCCTGTGAACTCGTCAGAGAAGCAGGTCAGGAAACTTGGGAAAAGCTTGGCTGTCATGAGTTTGAGCACACGGATCAGGGAGAGGGCCTTAATCCGCTCCTGGGAGTTTCCTTGGCACAGCTTAATTCTGTAAAACACAAGTGGCTTCTACTATTTCCCTTCAGCTTTTCTGTGGAACCCGTATTACCTAACATTTAGGTGTAATAACCAAATATAAAAAAGTGTCACCTTGCGCCACCTCTAACAGTCAACGTCCCTGCCCAGCCCCTCTTACAGATACAGTGCTCATTTTGGCAGTTATCTCCCAGCCCAGAATGACTGCATTCCCATGAAACTAGTCCACTCGAGTATTTCATGTTTCTACAGCAGTTACCATTTATACCACTGGTCTAGGTTAGTACTTTTTGTAGCAGGACCTAGTACGATGCTGATCATATAGGGAGTTCAGCAGATGCTGGCTGGATCCCAGGTCACCCAGGCACTTTTTTTTTTTTAATTTACATTACTCTATAGTCTTTTTTTTTTAAAAGGTTTTATTTATTTATTCATTCATTACATGTAAGTACACTGTAGCTGTCTTCAAACACCCCATAAGAGAGGATCAGATATCATTGCAGATGGTTGTGAGCCACCATGTGGTTGCTGGGATTTGAACTCATGACCTCTAGAAGAACAGTCAGTGCTCTTAACCACTGAGCCATCTCACCAGCCCACCCAGGCACTTCTAAGAAAGGAAGACTTTCTAAGCTTCCAGTGGCTGGGTCCTACCTGATCATGTCATGGATCTCTTTGCCAAGGTTCATCCGCCCCAGGGCTCTGGCAGCCGCTTGCCTTACTTCCCTATTCCAGTCATTCCACATCAGCTGGATTATCTTCTGTTTCATATCCTAGAAATAGGCATGATAATTGACTCTCAGTTTTGTAGTAGATACCAGGTTTCCCCCATCCTTTAGTCACAATCCAGTTGGGCAGATGGTATCTCTACAGATGGCTCAGTACAGGCTTTGATTAACTTGCCCAAGGATAATCTGGTAAGTGCTTATAACTGGTCTCAAATCCAGGTCTGTTTCCCAAACTTCTCTTCAAGTCTTGTACCATGTTGGAGCCAAAAGAATGAGTATGAGAGACTTGAAATTTGAAAGTGTTACATAATGGAATAACTTCCTCATTCCAGATTGCTCGAGACTTTTCTGGTTTTAGTACTAAAAGTCCATGTCCTGTACAAACCAGGGCAGTCAGTCACTTCTCTCTTATAGGGAAAGGAAAACATTACTACAGTTGTGGTTGATGATGGTGTAACTTTGTGTAAACTAGTTTTCCAGCCCAAAACATCTTGCTCTACCTCTATCTGGTACCAGATATTTTCCTTTAGGACTTAGGCATCTCCTTAGTAAAGTCTCTTCTGCCCCTTGTAAGCATAGGAAAGCCCTATAGTGTCTTACCAACGTAGAGGGGATGTGGTCAGAAACTGCTTTCTTACTGAGTGAAGGAAAGAACTCAGGCACACTGCCCTTTTAAACTTCTGCAGTTTTTCATGGCGTCTTCATCATCTGGACCGTGTCCATAGCTAGGGTCTCAGCAGGAACTCTAGCACGTGAGGAAGATTAGCCTGTTCTCAGACCTCTTCAGGTTATTATTTATGCTGAATGGCCAGATTGTTGAGTGCTTTCTTTAACAAAATGTGAGGGTTAAAGAATGGACGGGGCTCACATCTGCAGGGACTACTAGCCTTTCCTGTATGCACTAACCGACGGTACCCAGTGTCATAAAAAGATAACACACTAAAACAAGGGCTCATTCTTTCTTTCCTCGTTATTGTAAACAAAATGGCCGGGAGATGCTCATCTATCAGCACCGTTTTCTGCACACAAGGACTGGGGTGGTGTGTCCTGGAGATAGGACTACAGCGACGTATTTCATCCATGCGATATTTTATGGTCATCTTGTTTGTCAGATAGCACCACTGTAACATTCCCTGCCAGGTCAGATCAGCATTTCTAATTCAAAAGGGTGATTATGAATTACACCCAGCTGGAGAGATGGCTCAGTGGTTAAGAACACCCTCTGCTCTTCCAGAGGTCCTGAGTTCAATTCCCAGCAACCACATGGTGGCTCACAACCGTCTGTAATGTGATCTGATGCCCTCTTCTGGTGTGCCTGAAGACAGTGACAGTGTAGTCACATACATAAAATAAATATAAATAAATTTAAAATAAATAAATAAATAAAGTGTATAACTCAGTAGTTTTTAAATATAATAATAATAATAATAATAATAATAATAAAAAAACTCGCCGGGCGGTGGTGGCGCACGCCTTTAATCCCAGCACTTGGGAGGCAGAGGCAGGTGGATTTCTGAGTTCGAGGCCAGCCTGGTCTACAGAGTGAGTTCCAGGACAGCCAGGACTACACAGAGAAACCCTGTCTCGGAAAAACAAACAAACAAAAAAGATGAATTACACCCAGCCACCCCTTTAAAAAAGCAATAGAGAGGAGGAAAAAGAAGAAATTTAAACAACTGAAGAAAATCAGAAAGTGGCAGGACACTGACCAATATGAGAAAATCAAAGTCTCTGCGGGCGAGAGTGGTGTGAACCCCAGACAGAAATATGAAAGGGAAATGTTTTCCCTTTGCTGTGGTGGGAGAAGTGAAGGTGGGCCAGATCCAGGACATAAACCATGACTCAGGAGATGACTTACATGTGATTAGAAGTTTACTACAGCCCTTAGGAGTCAGTTCAGACCTGTGTGCTTTTTTTAGTATTTTTAAAATTTTATGTGTATGGATGTTTTGCCTGTGTGCATGTCTGTGTACCATATGAGTGGGAGCATTGCAACACAATGGTCCCTGGTACCAGAGAGGGTGTACTACCTGGAACAGTAGTATTTTGGTATTTGGAACTGAACCAGAATACTTTGAAAAACAAGTACTCTTCACGCAGTAACTCTTTTCCCCATGCTATGTGTTCTTGTAAAAAAAAAAAAAAATCAGCAAAGACTATGGCTTCTAGTTTCAGTTTACTTGAACTTAGTCTCCCTACCAAAGTCTCAGTTTCAGTAAGATGGAGAGATACTTCTGGGAGAACAAGACACCATTATTCCTCTAACATGGTATGCCCATGAGCCCTCAGGAAGTAAGCCCCAGTATCAGATATACAATTATCCATGGAGTCTGCAGTGAAACCACATAGTTCAGCAAGCATTCTGCAGTGGCATTTAAACAGCACAGTCTGTCTTCTCCTTCGTGAGTACCTTATAGTTTTATTCATTAATTTCAAGATGAGAAGCAATTTCATTCAAAAGGTCAAGAAACATTGTCAGAAGAGCCGGACATTTGTTTGTGTGTGTCCTTGTGTATTTGTGGATGCAGATTGTGTGTGTGTGTGTGTGTGTGTGTGTGTGTAGCTTTTGAGGAGTCTAAATGCTCCATCCTCTGATCCCTTTAAGTAACCCCAGAATGACACAAGAGGAAATAGGTCTTTTTTCTGTCCAAGAGTAGGCTTTGTCCAGTTATAATCTAGCCCTTGCACAGTCCCCAAATAGCAGAATCCTGGGCTTTCACTGCTGTATGAGTCCTCTCCAAAATGTAAACGTATCGTAGTCCTGAACTCAGAACAAACTATTAGGCTCTAGGTAAGCCAAAGAGTGAGGTGATCTAGAGGCTATGGAAGCTCTATTGAAGGCAGTCGGTGTTTAGGGATTATATAACAACCCAAAGACACAATAGATTTTCTAAGCTTTGCCCAGCTCAAGGCAGAATGGGGTACACTCTTGAAGGAGTAAAAGAGATATTTCTTTGTAAATAATTTCTTTCAGCCCAGATATCAGGACTCATAGAGATGAAGGCAGATACATAGGGATGCCCTCATAAAGCCATCTTTGATTACCCAGGTTGTATCTTCCAGTATGTACTGAATGGTGAAATTAAATATTCTTACAGACTTATTAAAGCATTGTACATATAAGTATGTGAGGTGCACAGCATGTGTGTATACAAGGAAGGGTTCTTGCATACGTGCATAGAGGTTAAAAGAGGGCATTCTCTCCCCTCCTCCACCATTTCTGACCTTTTCCCCTGCAGGATCTCTTGCTAAAACTGAAGCTCATGATTTTTGGCGTGTGTGGGGCTACACCTCTGTTGGATGTGAGTGCTGTGATACAAATCCTGGTCTTTATATTTGAACAGAGAATGCTTTTCATCATTTAGGCCTCTCTAGCTCCTCAATCTCAATGATGGTTTGTAAGAAAACTGTTTTCTGTAGTCTTAACGTGAGAACTGTGAGGAAAGAAAATGCCTTTTTTTTTTTTAATTTTTTTTTTCAAGACAGGGTTTCTCTGTGTAGCCCTGGCTGTCCTAGAACTCACTCTGTAGACCAGGCTAGCCTCGAACTCTCGAACTCAGAAATCCGCCTGCCTCTGCCTCTCAAGTGCTGGGATTAAAGGCGTGCGCCACCACTGCCCGGCTGCCTTTTATTTTCTACTTCCTCTCCCATGTATATAATTGCCTCTGAACATTTACTGAACATGTCTGTGCGTATGTCATATGTATCCATCCATATGCATATACATACATATGTATGTAGCACAAAGGAGAAAGAGACCGGTTCCACTCCCAACAGCTAGTGACTAGAATGGAGTAGTGAAAAGATGTTCAGGGTTCAGTTGCTCAAAATTCCTTCAATTGTAGCCAAGTTCCACACCTTCGAGTCGTTCGATACACCCTGGCTCCTGAAAGTTTCAAGAGAGCATCTTACATTCACTCTGCTCTCAGGCAGTGAGGGCCAGATAAGAAAGCTGTGAACTGTGGGTGGGACAGGCTGTGGGTGGGACAGGGTGCAGAATGTTCTTTCCACAGCTGGCTTCTGGAAAGAATGGCATAAACTATGACAGGTGAATGCACATGAAAGCCGGGACATGGTGCCCTGGCATGTCCACATTCTCTCTGGGAAAAGCAGAGGCCTTGGGAGAACATTGGCTCTTTTCACACAGGCAAAGATGGTAAATAATACCAAGTGTCCTCCTCCATTGTACTTGCATTTGCTTAAGCTAACTGTGAACAGTTACGTCATGCTTTGCTTGCGTTAATAATAAAAATACAAAGTGCTTTGTTTGCACTACCCTTGAGTTCAAATTCCTGGAGTCCCCTGATATTCCACGAAGGTCTTTGGTTTATCCTTCAATCCTAGGAGACAGCTCTGCTGGCCGAGGGACAGGGTGACATCAGGTTATATGTATTGTTAGTCTTGTTGCTCAAATTGCAATGCCACTGTTTTTAAAAGGAGGGTCCATGTTTTTATATGTATGCACTGAATGTTCAGAGAACCAGCACAGAGACCTGTCTAGTTGAATTGTTTGGTCTTTTGAGTCTGCTTCTCAAAGTAATCAAGGACCGATTTTCACTGTAGGGTGAGAGGTACTGTATCATTGACTGATACTTTTATAATGTCTACTGATATTGACACACACACACACACACACACACTCTGAGTCAAATTACTATAAAGGTCCTAAGCTCTTTCTCTTGGTTTGTGTGTATATTAGACAGTGGCTGTGTCACAGCTTGTGGACTGCCACCCCCAATAAGAAACACTGCTTAAAGTCAGAGAAGTACGTAATACTTAAAGATAATCCAAGTTATGAATAAGAGGAAGCAATGAGATACCAGATAGAAGCAAAAAGTCAGAAAACTCCAGGCCAGCCTTGCCACACTTTCTGGAAGCAAAGACAGGAGACTTACTATGCAGACTTTCCCACTGATCTGAGAGAAAGCACGGCAGGCCACGATGCGGTCCTTCCATTGCCTGCTGTTCAGCTCCACGGCAAGCATCGTGTGGATCAGGGTCTGAGGACAAGGAAGAGTTTCATGGATAGTCTCAATCACTCTTTTTTTTTTTTTTTTTTGTTTTTCAAAACAAGGTTTCTCTGTAGCCCTGGCTGTCCTGGAACTCACTCTGTAGACCAAGCTGGCCTCGAACTCAGAAATCCGTCTGACTCTGCCTCCCAAGTGCTGGGATTAAAGGCGTGTGCCACCACCGCCCGGCATCAATCACTCTTAAAGATAATCGAATCTTGAAGAAATTATATCCTGACGTGACATCCAGCACAGTAAATGCCCAAGGTCATGAGATAACATTCCTATTAAGGGACAGGGTGGGTGATTAAGATAGGGCACTCTCCCCAAGCAGTCTGACTTGAAAAGAGAAAAGAAA